AATAGGCGTGTCGACAGGGTAAAAAAATCAAAAAAGTAATTAGTCCGTCATTAAGATCGCACGAAAATATCAGACACGTATTTTTTGTTTTATCAAATTAACAGAAGAATACGTAGTTATTCCGCATTAAAGTTAGGGAGTGGGGGGTGTTGACGTCACACTTACGGAGAAATCGTACCTAAGTGTGACGTCACGCGTCATTTTAACTCAAAATATCTACATGTTTTTTGGATACGAGAAAAAAGAAAAAATACGTATCGAAGATTTTTAAAATATCTAAAAGACGGACAAAAAATTAAAAAATAGTCGCCATGCCTATTATGTTATTAACCAACATGAATCTGGGTGAGGTTGTAGTAAATAACAGTTAAATACCAGATAGTTACCTATGCTACGTAATAGTGAAAATAGGTATCCTTTTTATAAAGGTTTTTAGTGTTTCCCGCTATAGACGAGGCGGGAAGGAGTGTCAGACTCTTACTTACTAAAACCACCCCTTACAACTCCTGCTCCGAGGCGGGGCCACGGTACCTATATGGCGATGTACCCGCGAACCCGGCATGGTTCATCAACGCCTTTGAGAATTCACATCCTCAGGACATGTATAGTATAATGTTCTCAACAAAGAATAATCAAATCTCCTTTTTTTACACAGTGTGATATTATCGCAAGCTATAAGACAGAAGCTGCAGTTACACAGACGCGCTGCTGCAGCACCGGAGCCGCACGAGGAGGATAAAGCCAGGTTACTGCTGGGAGAGAGGACGGTGAGTTACTTTGATCGTTTCAATAGGAACCTTGTCATGCTGGAATTATACGAGATTAAACTTGTCATGTAAGAATATGACATATTATGTAAATACGATGAATTTCTTTAGCAAATTTTTGTCAACACATCCGGCATGTATTCCATTTAAACAGCTATTATGTTAATATCAGTTGATTGAAACTGGGAACAAACTGCAATGCCTTTAAATATTCTTTGCCCAGTGTTAAAGTGTTATGTACTATTTGGAGTATCTATTTTTAAACAAAACATACCAGGTTGCTTACTCTTGAAACCAATCTCAATGTCAATGCAATTTCAATCCAATAATTATCCAATGTCAAAACTATACAACCCCTATAATAGCTGTTAAAGTAGCATTCAGAGTACGGAAAATAAAGCCAAACTCAATACCATTTAATTCATTCAATATCCACGCAATACGGATGCAATGGGTGCTAGTGTTGCAACTCAAGAGTATGAAATTTCACAATGTCAATCGATCAGAATTGGATTCAAGAGTAAGCCCCCTTGAGTTGTGGGTTGCAAGAGGATTCTTTATAAGGAGGATCCTTTCCTTATTCTGATAAGTATACTCCTTTCTAGGTGGCGGAAAATAAACCACAGAAGAAAGGTACTCCCAGCGTGTTCAAATTCTCCAAATCATAGCGTAAGTGAAGGCTGTACTTTATAGCGCGGCATTTATCTACGAACCAAACGTATTGACTGTCGCTTGAATGCCTATATGCAATATTGAAATGGTTTTAAAAGTTCACTATAAAATGTGACGAATGAAATAACACTGTAACCTCGAAGTATTAATTTGTACTAAGAATTTAAAGGTGAGTTAAGTACGAAATGACATTCTATAATTTTCTTCAAATACGAATTCGTGATATTAAGTGAAATCGATTATAAATTAACAACATAATTATTATTGCGTTTAGGCCTTCAAGCGAATATTTTAAGACATTCTATACTGTTTTATGAGGCTAATATTCTTATAAATGTATACGCTACTATACGGTTTAATGGATGTTTGGATGTTTGTGTCAATTTTATCAATGTAATGTGAACAAACTATTCTAATCTAACTTTTGAACTGTTTTAAATGTGGTTGTAAAGGATCTGATTTTGGTAAATATATCAGTATTGTATTGAGATGAAATTTTAAAACAGTGATATTACAAGGCGCAACATATTTTTATATGCGCAAACAGTTTGCGCAAGTATGTAGCATTTTTGGCGCTTATTTGCACTGTAAACTATGTTTTAGCTTTGTTGTTACCTGCACTGGCGCTGTTTAAATTTTGCGCAATCGCTATATCAACTCTATAGTATCATTTTAAATGAAGTTTTTTGTTGCGCAAAATATTTATTCATTCGTAAAAGGAATTATATAAAAGATTGCTCAGCAATATCAATATTTTGAAAGCTGCGCATTAAAACGCATTGTTTGCGGTCAATTTATCTGCTTTTTTGTAATTTAACTTCACACTCTAACCCATAGGAGTGAGAGAGATAGAAAACTTTGCCAGAAGTAAGACTAAATTAATTAAAATCGCGGGTTACTCACGTGAATATACTGAGAAAAGCTCGCGGTGAGACCGCGCACGCTGCTCACGAGGAAGAACCCCTCTGTGAATTTATGTACCCCAATTATCTCAGCATATTCACGTGAGTAACCCGCGATTTTAGTTAATTTAATATGTCTCACGATAGTTATTATAACAAAAAGTAAGACTGTTGTGATCTTCATACATGTGGGATCTGCTAATGTATTTATTAATTTAAATTCTCATACAATATGATCTAATTTCGTTTGCCGCAGATTTTTTAACAAAGTCACTCAAAGATTTTGAAAATGAATTAGTACTTTTTGTTTTTTTTTTTTGTATTATGGTACTATAACTGTTATATATATATATATATAACTCATTCATGGGTAAAATGTAGCTAGGTTATGCAATTTTGAAAAAGTATTAGGTATATAAATCAACGATAAATGTATGTTTTACAAGTAAACTTCAACTTACCCGTTTTTAACACAGAAAACCGTGTTGTTATAATATCATGGTACTACAGGAAATTGATGAAATTCTTTGTTATATTTTTTTTTGCATAGAGTGAACCTATGGACTTATTATTATTATGTTTTAGTTTAAGTAAAAGTGAGCACCATATATTCTATTGTATTATATGCTTTTATTAATTGTATTGCGAGCTGTATATGAGATGGGTAGACAGAACTATAAATTCTGATCGCAAGTCATTCACATAATCCACAGATCTATGTATCAGATGTAAAGTACGACGAACAATCATACATGTGCTTATTTAGATAATGTTTAACTGTCCCGTGAACTAATTACTATGTTTTCGGCATACTCACGTAACAGAGAGTGTTCGGCGCTGTGATTGGTTGCTCCATTGGCGCCGGCCAATCAAAGTGCCGAACGCGTACTCGTTTCGAATACTTTAAGCGTAAAACAAACTCGTACTAAGACCTCTGTTTGTCGACGAATTCGACTAGTTTCTACTCATGAATATGAGCCTCTAGCATGGCTTGAAACTAGTCGAGTTCCTCGTCAAACAGTTACGGTGAGTAAGCTGAAAACATAATAATTAATTTAGTAAGTCTCACGAAAGTTTTAATTTGTCCCGTGAACGTTTTGTTTTGGTCTGTTCATTCAGCGCTCTGATTGGCCGACGCCAATATACCAACCAATCACAGCGCCGAACGCGTACTCGTTTCGAATACTTTTAAAACAAATTCGTACTGAGGCCTCGAACTTCAATACATTATTTCAATTCACCTATTAAGAAATTTATCATTGCATTATTTATTAAATTAAACTTAAACCGGATTAGACACTTAATGAATGACCCACAATTTGCATAAGTGGTTTTCCTGAACTTGTGCTAAGTGGGTTATCTACTAATTATGAATCGTTAATTGATTATTCCATCATTAGTGTAGTTTGGTATTTAAATTAACGATCTTTCAAATGAATGTAGCTGGATCAAATAGTAATAAGTTAAGAGTAATTAAATATTAGATTGTATAGTTCTGTCTACCACTTCTAAACGAACTTGAATACATACCCGCTCAGACTCGTAAATAAATATGAATTAAATATATAATTCGAAAGATATTAAGCGTAAAAAGACATTTATACCTATGTTCATAATGAGATAATTTAAACGAGTATTTGTTTTCTATGATCGCCCTGGAATTGTTTTTCAAGATGATTATTAAGTTTCCAAATCTACTTTTTTTTCTATATCTACACTAATAGTATACAGAGGAAAGATTTGACTTTTTGTTTGTTTGTTTGAATTGAATCTGCTTCGAAACTACTGGACCGATTTGAAAAATTCTTTTATTGTTTTAATCTTACATTATCGATGATGAACATGGGCTATATTTAATAATATAAAAAATAGGGAACCGTGTGAAAATTTCGATAATGTAACCCAATGTGTGAATATACTACCAGATTCCAAAACTAGATTATTTTTTTATATAATATATTATTTAAAGAATATTATATATTATATAAAAATATTATACAAAGAAAGACCACGGGGATTAATGACCAAAATTAATAACTGATTGTAATATGGCTGTCCTTGGTATTTAAAAGAATTTTAATAGAACTAATGTCAAGAATGTTATTCAATGCTTCTTTTTCTCCTCTTATAATATCTTCTGATTCGGGAACCAAGACATATCTGCCTTGGTTCCCGCAACGAAATTTCATGTCCCTGAGACGCTGACTTCAGTGTTCCGGTGTTTTCATGGTTGTATCTACAGTAGGTCCTGGCTTACAGGAGTTGCAGTGGTTTTGGGTAGTTGTGGCGGACTTTTCCCATAAAAAAATGTTATTCATTTGTATTGTGATCTGTTATTGATTTTGACTGTAAATGAAATATCTGTTTGATAAAGCTATCCAAAATTTAATTAGAATTAAGTTTAAATATTATTTATTTTTTATTAGCACATGCGATTTAAATTATGTAATATAAACTATTGTTATTAGTTAAATTGGTTTTGAAATTCTAAAAGACATTTCGAAATGTGTAAAAGTGTTATTTTAGTTGCAATGTTAAGGATTTATTTAATAAGGTAATTTCCTAAATTTTATTTTAATGTCCGTCTGGTACATAAATTTAAAACTTTAAACACGTATTTTTCTTTTCTCACAAAATTAAATAATCTTAAGACAATAAAGAATTTAGAATTTTTTTTGAAATACCTTCGCCGATATATTAATTTGAAATATCGTGTGACGTCATAGCGTGCCACATTTTATAGCACGTTATGACGTAACAACCTCCCACTCCTAAACTTAACTCCATTTTATCGAAGTGCAATACTTATTACGAGAAAATAAAAAAATACGTGTCTAATATTTTTTAAATATCTAACTGACGGACTAATTAGATTTTTAATATTAATACCCTGGAAACCCAATTGTTTATGTTTAAACTTGAATCTTTGTTTGTTTATTGAACATGTTTGGAAACCTCTGCCCAATTCGACAAGGAATCATTTATAATCAGGTATTGGTAATATACCAGTCTTTCCGTAGATAAGATGAAATTCAAATGGTTTATTCGCCTTAACTTAATGTAAACATTGAAATGTGATTGATAAAAGTATTGGATCTTTTGGATTAGGCGGAGATTTTGTAACTTATATTTTTAATTTGTTTTTTAAATGTCTCATAATTTTGAAACCACAATGAAGTGAGATAGGGCTAAGCAGAAAATGTTTTTGGTTAAAGAAACAATAATTCCGAATCTGTTTACATAGATCAAATATAGTATAGTATTGTTGTAAGCACAAACGCTAGAAGTACTGCATTCAGTATTGTATATTTTTCGTTGTGTAAGCGTAAATTTTATATACTTCCAAATGTAGGTAGCGATATATCAGCAATTTATAGACAACGTACGAGATTTGTATCGTATTATGTATTTGTTAATAAATGTTGTAAATATGTATTGTACTGGTTTTCTTTTTGTATTTTTTTCTAAGAAATGTTTATGTTATGTGTTGGTCTCTTAACCTTATGTAAGTACTTAGAAAAAAATATTGAATTCATAATTGTTTTGATACTGCAAATGAAAAATATGTAGAACATATAGCGATAGCTTTCATAGAACATTAATCACTATTCATTCTATTTTAACAAGTCCGTGACCGAATTAGCTTTACATATAAACAAAAATACGTGCACGTATCCAAACGTTACACTCATATTACTGGGAAAATGCGGGAAAACTCATCTCTGGTCCCGACTTATTTCCACGGCATTACCTCACCGCGGCCTTGTCGCGCTCCGCCCGCCAGTACCTCGCCGACCGTCGCGCGGGACGCACGTACCTCCCCACTCCGTGACGAACTCGAACATCGTAAAAGTTAACGAACGACATGAGGACGAATTATGTAAAATACAAATAGTGCGATAATTATTTTCAAATATTTTTCTGTGTTTGTGAAGATTTGTGTACATTACTATGGCGTTAGCGTGGTGTGTATTTTTGTGCGCTTGCGCCGGTGTGCTAGGGTTTAATGTGGACATACCCTCAAGGGTGGTTTATAAGGGTAATCCGAATTCTATGTTTGGATTTACGGTGCAGGCGCATGTTGATGGCGACCGGAAAATGTAAGTACCTACTTTTCTTTTCAAGCATTAGTAACGTAATAATACACCATGGCTTTTATGGTTTTCGCGCGCGATTGTTTCAGTCTCGCCGCCGATAAAGATAGAAATGAGAATGAGTTTATGGTGGTGATGGAGTGAAATATTTTTGTATCTGGCGCCTGTGTACCACGATATTAGCCAGTGTTTACATAAAACTTGGCATATTATACAATATTGTACATGTTCTCTGGTTGGCTGAGAGAGCTGTTGCATCTGTATGAATGAACCGTTTGTTTGGACAAGTGTTCGCCAAATTAAAAGTTTATGACTCCTCGCCGGTCCTAGAGTACTAAAACTAGATTGGTTATAACGAGGCAGGAGACAACTTAGGCTCTAGGTGGTCCTGAAATTTTTGCAGCTGGATGGTATCATTAAAAAATTATGAACAAAAATATCAAACACATATTTCGTTGCCAGACAAACGATTCTATTACTATATAAAGAATTAAAATAAAACTTCAAGGACTTGTAGCACCTGTGTGACCAGTTCACGTGGTTATTATTATTATTTCCTCAATTTTATACAGACAATAAAACAAATATTTCGGAAGGCCATCTTAAATATACATTATTGAATAGATATGTCTGTTACTGTGTCGTGTTTGGAACATAGTCTAATGTTACGATCTGCATGATCTAGAAATATCTAGGCACTAGGAAATGTCTAGGTTCTAGGCAATATAAGTTAGTTAGTAATAAAGTTTTGAGCTTGAAAATGTTGTTACAATTCTCTTTGATGACTATCTTGTTCTTGGAGACGTAAAATAATATTTGTTATTGGTTTCTGCGCTTTGTGATATGGGTTTACTTTGAACATAGATTGGAGATTTTACTTTTGCTCTTCATTTTATTGTTTCTATTTGGTTTTAGATATTTTCTGTTTGAAGTAGAATAGGCAGAGCGAATAGTCCCTTCCGTCTGAAAGTATGTAACATATTATCTCGAAGAATTCAACTATAGACTGATAATTGAGAAAGTTTGTGGTTAAAATTAGACCAAACTTCTTCAAGACCTCTGCCGTTGTAAAGACTTATTCAGTCTACCAAATTAATCTTAGCACATATATATAAATATATATAAACATGATAATTTACGTTTATTTTTACCTTCACATAACTAAAAGCCTAGTTCATATTCTCGTAAGTATACGGTCACAAGGTAAGCAGCTCAAGAGCGCGTATATTGCGCGATGACATCACTGCGTCGGCAGTTGAGAGTTTGAGACCCGACTACTGCCGCGAATTTTAGCAAATGATTCCGTTTATTGAGCGTTCATGATTGTAAACTGCTGCAGTCACTAACTTCAAGTGAAGTCTTAATTGAAGTCTGGCTGGACAAAGATAAATTAAGTAAATCATTTCTTGAAATATATACTGAGTTTTTTGTATTGATATCTGACAGAAAGACAACTGTTGGACGCAGATTGATTTCAAGAGGTCGTTGATCTACTAAAACAACGTCTAAATTGATGCTAATTTCTTAAGTTATTCATATAATAACCGAACAAAGAAATAACATGTTAAATTACTATTATTTCTGCAGACTCTAGCCCAAAACTCTCATGAATAAACGTAGTTTTTGGACTCAGTTACTATCGTCTAACAGCTCTCAAGGACATTTTAATTATGACTGCAAATTAACGTAGACACGGTAGTGTTTAAAATTTGTAAATTATACACATCGTAACACAAATATTAGCATTTTGGACTAGGAGTATTACTAATGCTGAAATTAGTGATAGCACCCTAGAGACGTTTAATTTTTTTACACTAACCCCCCAAGTAAAATGATTTAGTATGTGATTTTTCACAAAACTGTTTCACATACCAAAATTAATCTTTAGGCAATTATAATAATGACTTATCTGAGAAATGAGGCAACTAATTACCGTATATATATGTAACGCAATTATTTAATACTTGGCACATTTCTTATTACTTGTATTTAAACATAAATGGCGGTTCAATTAGGTGGGTGGGTAGGTTTAATTAATGGTGTTTCGAACAAGTGACTCGGCTTAAATGTTTAATGTTGTTGTAATGCATTGCATGAATTGGAGCAGTGATTACTTATTCTGATAAATGCATTTATTTAAATGACTCTTTAAGCATATACATTCGTTAACTCTTTGAGCATTTCAAGTGAAAGTATACTCAAACTACGGATGACGAAAAGGAGAAATATGGAATACATTGTTCACTATTCTGTCAGTTCATTCATTCACTCAAATGACCTTTAAGAAATAATCCATTGTCTCTCCATCATCAATTTTGACTTTAACTTTTTTCATTTAAAACCTACCCCGTAGACAATGCAGCGCAAATTCATACCGGATATACGTCACATGCAGAGCACATGCGCAGGCGCAACGTGCGCCCTTTTTAACTTTTTTTTCGAACGTAATTTAGTCGTTAACGCTATTTTTGTTTGTCGAGGGTGGTGCTTTCTGCTTGATTTATGCTTACATGAGTTTACAAATAATACTGCTTCAAGTTTAAAGGCAAAAAGCTACTGGGAAACAATTTGTCTTCTCGCAGTTTTGGAACGACCTTTCGCAGTGCATTGTCAAAGGTTTTTTTTGTGTCAAGTGCAGCAACAAGTGCGGGCAACATGTGACAACGACATGTTACAGATTGTGTTCCGCTGGTGACATTTGCTTTTCTGTTCGTTTTTGGGAATTCGTGGTTTCGTGAATGTCTTTTATGAGTAACAGAGTTGATAATTTTAATGTGATGTATCTGAGTATTTGAAAGTTGCTTTTTTCTATTTTATCTTGAAATAGGTTTGGTACTCAATGCTAATTAGATTTCCGTTTCCTCTAAATATAATACTGGTATAGATAAATAATGCGAGTTGTCGTTCAACGTGGTGGACTAAGGGGGAGACCTCTGTCCAGCAGTGGACGTCTTCCGACTATTGTTGATGATGATGATAGATAAATGCAAGAGTTCTTTAATAACTTACTAATTAAGATAGTAAACTACAGGACTCTCAGACAAAGTACTAGGAACTCATAAAACTGAAGAAGTACTATTACACTTAGCCCGTAGCTACTAGCTGTAAGGCGGAGATTTATTCATTAAATACTCTCAGAAATAAACAAAAGACGATGCCTCCTTCCGAGGGCTATAACAGCCTATAACACACATTTTTAGTACGAACATGTCATTAAGTTCGTGAGCGAGTCACAACACTTCTTTATCCGGCTAATGGTGGAGATAAGTAATGAGTTAGTTGCCCATGCGCAGCTGTGCCCAGAACTCTTTTATTGATCACTGATCGATGTTTAATGGAGTTTCTGTCGTCGGCTCAGGCGTTTGGGATGTGGTTTTGTCATTTATCAACGTTTTATAACTTGTAAATGTGATTTAAAATAGTTAATGTCAGGGAATTTCTTTGAAAATGTTGTCCAGAATGACGTGGTAGAAATCTGGTGCATAGAATAAGCCTTAGGCTTTTTTGTCATTTAGGATCAGTTTTTGTCGTTAAGTTGAGAGGTCCTATTGAGATCAAGTCATTAGATGGTTTTTATAAGAATCTTTATGAAGTCTTTATACTTTCAAACTAAAGAGTTGCCATCAATCATCAACAGGATAAATAAAATAAGGACGATTTGAAGTGTACCATTAATGAAGACGTTTTACTAAAGTTTATCTACAACTGTTATGAGTTAAGATAAAGATTTGTCTTCATCCTCACATCTCTAATATCGTCATCCAGATATCAGATAACCCAAAAAACGAAAACTCAACCCTAACCAAAAATGTAAAGTCAAAGTCAATGTCAAAATCATTTATTTCAATTAGACCAGGAATGCGATTTTGAACGTCAAAACAAAATATTGAAATATAAAAAAAAATGTCAGTCTGTCGGTCAGTCCTCTAGTTCTATTTGCTCGTTCCCAAGTGTAGATTCCTATGGAGAAGAACGGGCAAGAAACTCCATAACTAGTTGACATTCAAATCTTACCATGTAACAAACAACAGAATCTTTTATGTTCATATCTACTACTTATCGGAGAAATATTTGTTTAAAAAATGCGTCTATTATCAGTGGCAACGATAGTTTACTGTGAATCGGTGCTTGTGCATGTATTCCGATAACCTATGGACCACACGATGCCCTCTTATCTCCACACCGGGACAACTCATCTCTTAAAACTGATATTTTTAGATGCATCGTTGCGTGTCGTTGAATTATGGGTTTAAAACTGTAATTGTTAGTTTTTGGATTGAATTGCGAACGGTTCTGTACTCGTGGTTTTGTTTTTTTGTGTGTAAGTATTTGATAAAGTTGTTGATTTTAATATTTTTTTTTCTTGTATCAGTCTTGAGATGAGTCTTTGACTTATAATATTGATTTATAATTGACTTGATGGTGATTTTCTTGAATTAAGAACTCTCAGTTAGCATCTTGGTGTAATAGGTACTGCGATTGAAATTACGGAACAACAAATAAAATGCTCTTTATTCAAATGACCTCAGTGGAACGAAGCAATGCTAGATGCATTAAGATTCATTTGATGTTGCATCCTTAACTGCTGCTACTTAACAATAAATGCTCTGGTTTGTGAAGGTATAGCTATGTGTTAAAACTACTTATATACTATAAAATAATTTGTGTTACGGTGAATGCAAAATTCGCGAGTTCTGGACGCACTTATATGCACATTGTCGGCCCCTGCTTTTATTTAGAAACTAGATAATCTTTTTTTTTAAATGTCTAATCTAAGATCTAATCTTCTTCAGAATAACTGGTGTGACTTTTTTTAAGTAACACTGCCGTCTTATAACAACTTTAAACCATTTAACAATTTTTTGCAATGAAACAGATGACAGATACATAGGTAGGTACTTACGTCAGTCATTTTATAAGTAAGGTCGTATTCGTCATGCGATTCTCATTATTTATTACTTACAACGTCTTACAGGTAATATTTATAATAACAAGTAAATTACGAA